TTTCACTTGTGAATTTTATTGAAGACACCAAAAAATTAGGTTAATTTTTTAAGAAAAACTTTTTGATCTCGGTCACCCGGCCATAAGCACAAAATATCATTGACATACCTAAACCAAACTACGTTAGCAGGAATAATCTTGGAAAATTTTATTGTTTCAAAGAACTCCATATATAAATTGCTCAAAACTGGTGAAAGGGGATTGCCCATCGCTATTCTAAATGATTGTTTTAAAATTTTTACATTCAAACTAAAATAATAGTCGTATACACAAATAATTAAGTTCCAACACATTATTGGTTAGCAAGTTCAAATTATATTTGGGCAGTTCCTCACGCAGGAATTATAATAAATCATCAACCGGTACTTTAGTGAATAAAGCAGTCACGTCAAAACTTCCTTATTTAAAATCATAATTTCAAATTGGTTCGGCTGCTTATAAACTTTCTAAGTGACTTGTCAAAGTTTTGTTCCCTATAATATTTTTTTTTTTATTTATAAAAGTACAATATACACAATAAAAAAGATACAAAGCCTGACAAAGTACATATTAAAGAACCCAAAGAACTCTTAAGACAACAAACATTATACAGAACAAATGCAAGAGCATGAACACTTTTTTTTTTTTTTTTTTTTTTTTTTTGTACAAGAATACAACATAAAAAAGAAATCCAATCATGCATAACACAAGATCCACATGAGTAACACAGAGAACACAAAGGCTCACACAGAGCAGCTACACATAATAAGCCAGCGGCATAAAAAAAAGAAAGAAAATAAATTAAAATAACACAAGGGAAAATTACATGAAGCATGACGGATAAAAGTACCCAAAAGGGCCACACACACAAGGCAGGAGCCCACATAACCAGGAGCACAGCACCGGAGCACGCAGGAACCGGTGGAACAAACAAAAAGATACATACACATTCACACCACAAAAAACGCCCACACACACAAAAAAAAAAAACAGCGGAACACGCAGGATCCGGCAAAGGAACACAAAAACACACACAACAAGGACACACACACAAGGAGCAACACAAAAGCACAGCGCAGGCAAACACACACAACTCACCGCCGAGGAAGCCCTCAGGGGGCAGGGGGAATACCCACAACCCAAACGCCCAAATGACCCAAGAAGCCCTCCCCCCCAAATCCATCGACACCACACCAAAACACTAATCAAACCCCGACCCCCCACCAACCCCAAAGCATCACCCTGAACATACGCGTCAGTGAACCAATCAGCAAACCTCACCGGAAAAGCACGCCGCAACCACCACCATGTGAAACGCAAACGCCCCCGCAGAAAACCCAGAATCCGGCGAACCCCATAGCCCTCCAAACGCCCAACCCACACGCAAAACACATAATCCGCAATCAAGACACTCAGAGTGTTCTGAAGCCGCCCGGAGCCCTGAGGAAACGAAAGAAACAGGAACCGTAAAACATCCCCCTCAAACCCGAGCCCACAGAACACCGCAACCAATCCACAATGTGCACATGTCGTGGAAGAACGCAACCCAAGCATACACAAACGATCATTCGACGGCAAGGACTCGTGCAGCATCCGAAAGAGAAACTCCCGCTGCTGCGGAGCCAAATGCCGCCCAACCAAATCCCCCCCCAATCCCAGCATGGAAACAAACCCTCAACCCGATGGCTCACACGACGAAGGAGAACCCCATAAACCCCCCGATACGACAGGGACAAAAACCCAGGAACACGGCAAAGCTTCCGCAGAATCCCAACTGCCCACGAATACACAGCAGGCATACAAAAGACGATCTCACACCCAGCCCCTAACTCAAGCAAATAGCTAAACCGAACTGAACAGAAATAAATCCCAAGCGCACCGAGGCCCCCACCCACCCCCAAATACTGACACAACGACACCCCAAACAAAGCCATCATGCCTTGGTAAAAACATCAGGGATGCCAACACCCCCCTCCTCCACCCGCAAAACCAAGGAGGAGCGACGAACCGGATGATACTTCCCACACCACACATACCGATAAACTCTGCACTCCAACCTATGAGCGCGCCGCCGATCCAGGGTGAAGCACTGAGGTAAAAACCACACCCTCGAAAGAACTTTGCTAGTAACAACAATCGCCTACTGATTAACTGTCAATGGACGCGAGGATAACAAACCAACCGCCACCTCAACCGACCGAGACACCGCATCCCAATTCCACTCCAAGGATTGGGCATATGAGCTAAACCAAGTAATTCCAAGAACCCGAAGTAACCTGACCACTGGAAACCACGACCCCGCCCACACTGAACGGGAGGTCCAGCTGCCCAGCCCCATCAGACAGGACATATCCCTATTAACAAGGGCCCCAGTGACCAGCTCAAAACGCCGAACAAGGTCATGAACCGCAACCACAGAGCCATCGGTCGCCACAAACAGAACTGTATCGTCAGCATACCCACAGATCGGTAAACAGAGACCAGCAGGCAGTCTCGGAGGAACCACCGAACCACCAAAGCACATGACTTAACCGCACGAAAAAAAGGCTCCTGAAAAATAACATAAAAGAGCATAGATAAGGGACACCCTTGCCGCACCGAGTGGCGAACGGCAAAGGGGGCACTAAAAAAACCATTAATGCACACACGACTATGACAGCGAGCATACAACATACGAACCCAAGAAAGAAACAACGGAGGAAACCCGAACCTCTCCATAGCCTGCAGCACAAAGCCCATCGACACATGGTCGAATGCTTTTGACCAATCTAAGCTGTGCATCGCCGCAGGTAGGCGAAGCTCAGAGGCACACAGAAGCACATCACGTAAAAGAGCATTGCACTGAAGCAAAGACCTACCCGGAATGCCACAAAATTGCTCAACCGAAACCACAGAACCAATAACATCCCGACACCGACCTGCCAGCAACTTCGAGACAACCTTATAATCAACATTTAACAGGGTGATCGGCCTCCAATTCGACAGAAAACGCAAATCACCTGGCTTCGGAAGCAACCTCACCACCCCATCATAATGGGATGCGGGTAAGAAACAGGTCAGGAAACAAAATCGCACCACCTCCAAAAAAGCCTCCCCAATCACATCCCAGAAAGTCACATAAAATTCCACAGGGAGCCCATCCGAGCCAGGCACTCTGCTGGAACGGAAAGACCGCACCACATCCCAGAGCTTAGCCGACGACACGTCCCTCACCAAAGTGGAACAACCCGCAGCCGACAAACCAGGTGAGCAGTGACGCAAAAAGAAAGCAGCCAAATCCTCATCCACCCCTACCTCCCCATACAGCGCTCCCAATTCCTACTGCACATACAACAGGACCTCATTCGTGTTAGACAAAACAGAACCGTCCGGACGCTGGAGACCGGTGAAAAGAACCGAGTCCCGAAGGGCTTTCTCCTTCCGCAAAAGAAAAGGAGAAAGCCGTTCACCAGACACACGCTCGTCAACACGAGCCCGCACCCGAACCCCTTCTGCCAACTCCTCCCGCGAACCACAAATGCGCTCCTTACACACAGAAATAGCATCAAAACAATCAGCCCCACCATTTAGCAACACATACAACCGAGTCAACCGAACCCCTTCTGCCAACTCCTCCCGCGAACCACAAATGCGCTCCTTACACACAGAAATAGCATCAAAACAATCAGCCTCACCATTTAGCAACACATACAACCGAGTCAACCGCGCCTGAAGAAAGCGCAACAAACCAAACCGCCCCGCCGCCTCATGCCTCGCAACCACAACAAAAAAGGACTTGCATTTCACCTTGCACCACTCCCACCAGTCCAACACAGACGAAAACTCGCACTTGCGAGCAACAAGCCCCACCCACCACCCACGAAACGCCTCACGCACCCAAGGACAACGCAACAACCAACAATTCAACTTCCACCAACCCCTCCCCACACGAACCTGACTATGAACAGCAACACGCACCACAACCAAACAATGATCAGAAAAGGCAACAGGAACCGTACGAAACGCAAAAACAGAGCCCTCCCGCCCATGAACATAAAAACGCTCCAGCCTGGAACACGCCCCTCGCGCAGCAAAGGTGAATTCCAAGTCGCCCCCAAACATGAGAGCAGCATCACGAAACCCACAACTCTGTAAGGTGGAGACCAATGCCCGAGAAACATTCTGCAGATGCGCACTATTGCAATCCCGTGCGAGAGTGACACAATTAAAATCGCCCCCAAAAACCATGTCCCTTGTGTCATGACGCAAGAAGTGTAACAGCCCACCCTGGAAAAACTCCTCCCTCTCCTTGCGACGCGCCGTGCCAGAAGGAGCATACACAGTCAATAAGGGAATCTCCACCCCGAGGTACCGCACACGAGCGAACACACCCGGCCATCTTCATCCATCTCCGTGTGAAGCACGGAAATGGACGCCCTCCGGGAGAACAGCATCAGCGTGCCCCCAAAGGACATTCTTGGCGGATTAAGCACTACATGAAAATCATCAGTCAACCCAGACAAAGCACTCAAGTCACGCACATTATGCTCCTGAATAAAGGCTACATCTACACGTTGCTCACGAAGCACAGCCACCAAGCCCATCTGCACAGCCAAGTCACGCAATCCACGCACATTCAGCGTCGCACAAGTCAGAGAGGGCGCCATCAGGAAGGCAATGAGGACCCCACCAACCCCACAGCCCCCGTAGGTGGAGCAGAGCCCCCCACATGGGAGGCAGTAGGAACAGTAGGCGCACCATCTGGCAACCCTGCAGAGGAGGGCCCACAGGAACGTAGGCGCTCGCACTCTTTGTAGACTTTGTAAACTTCAACGTCAGCGCATCCCGTCCAGGACCTTCCACACCAGAGGACACCACCCACTGATCAACCGCAACTGCTCCTGGGGCGTCACTGCCCCCAGAGGGGGCCCCGGGTGCAACAGACCGCATCAGGCCACCAGAGGGAGGAGGAGGAGGGGCGCACGCCACAGCAGCTCCAGCCGTAGACCCCCCTCGCTTAATGGGAGGACCTTTGTCAGAGGAACGCACCTGTGCCTCCCGCTTACGACGGGGCTGGTCCGACGTCGCGACAGGGGAAGGCCCTCTAGAGCCACGAGAGGACCGCAGCACCTCCGGAGCAGCAGCAACCACGTCGGATGAACGGCCACCAGACGAAGGAGCAACCCCACACGAAGGGCCTGCAGGATCGTCACTCCCACCTACACACGATGGAGCAGCTTCCACAGACGTACCTGTCTCCATGGCAGCAACATCTGAAGCCCGATGAACCTCCGCAGTGACGACGTGCACAGGAAGTGGGGGCGCCACATCAGACACCAACGAGCCAGGTGGGCCAAACTGCTGAACAGCCGGAGTAGGATCAGTCGAAGCAGAAGGTACCAACAACGAGGAGGGGCCGCAGGGAACAAACACGGTCTCTGCACCACCTGGCTTGGCCCCCCCCAACCCCCAAGGGGGGAAAATCACCCTCCTGGAAGATAGCTGGTTCCCCCATCCCGGAAGCAGTGCAACCGACCGCAAGATGCCCTCGCAAACCACACCGAAAACAGGTGCGTGGTTGATCCTCATAGAAAACCCGCATGTTAAAGCCGTAGAACTTGACCTGAGAAGGAATATCACGCGTCAAGCGCATGCCAAGGGTCCGCACATTTGTCCTCAAGCCCGACAGGCGGCCTGAGCGGAGGCAGGTTATACGGTGAGTGAATACAGTACCGTACCGAGAGAAGCAGGTGCGAAGGACCTCCTCGGGAAAGTCCAAGGGAACTCCATGGATGCTGACAAACGTCGGCGCCACACACCAATCCGACACCTCCACAGTACCAGCAAAGCCCGGGAGCAGATGAGAACGCCCAGCAAAATCACTCACAAAACGCTGATATGGACCAGGGGCAGAGAACTTGATCACCACACGCTTGTCAGAGATCTTCTCAAGGCCGTAAACAGTGAGCAGGTCCACCTGGAAAACATCCAAAAGCGTCACTTCCACCAACGCCCAATCAGCAGCCGCCGAGAACTCCAATCCTATGGAATCCACTCTCCGAATCCGCGTCACCGACGACGCCATAACGCCAGCAGCCCCCACAGGCTAGCCGGCACACCACACACCAACAACAGCGACCTGCTCGCACCAGACGTCAGCCAACAACTGAGAGAGCGCCAACGCCGTGACCGCACCCTGCAACGAGCAAGCAGCCAAGAGGATGGGGGAGTGAGGAATGGTTGGGAGGACGAGGGGATGGGGGAATGAGGAATGGTGGGAGGATGAGGGGATGGGGGAGAGAGGAATGGTTGGGAGGATGAGGAGATGGGGGAGTGAGGAATGGTTGGGAGGACGAGGGGATGGGGGAGTGAGGAATGGTTGGGAGGACGAGGGGATGGGGGAGTGAGGAATGGTTGGGAGGATAAGGGGATGGGGGAGTGAGGAATGGTTGGGAGGATGAGGGGATGGGGGAGTGAGGAATGGTTGGGAGGATGAGGGGATGGGGGAGTGAGGAATGGTTGGGAGGACGAGGGGATGGGGGGAGTGAGGAATGGTTGGGAGGACGAGGGGATGGGGGAGTGAGGAATGGTTGGGAGGATGAAGGGATGGGGAAGTGAGGAATGGTTGGGTGGACGAGGGGATGGGGAGTGAGGAATGGTTGGGAGGATGAGGGGATGGGGGAGTGACGAATGGTTGGGAGGACGAGGGGATGGGGGAGTGAGGAATGGTTGGGAGGACGAGGGGATGGGGGAATGGTATGAACGACTGGGAGACAGAGAAAGGTTGCTTTACGCGTGACCGGGTACAGCTACTCGTATAATAAGCACGTAAGCTTGCTCGAATGAGCAAACCAGAGCAAACCAAAAACATTTTAGGGTATTGTAAACTCTTCCTAATTTCATATATTTTAGTCATCATTTCATCAAGAAACTCGGGCTGCTCACCCTAAAGGCTCGAAGGAACATTCCTGAAAAAACTGGCTGTTTAACTTAATTATGATCATTCGAATAATAATATACATGCGAGCCCACGTTGGTAGGTTTCTTATACACATTAAATTTGAAACTTTTATTGACTCTATGCCTCATATGTCCAAAAACGGAGGAACACCATTCTCGTTATTTTCACTTGTGAATTTTATTGAAGACACCAAAAAATTATGTTCATTTTTTAAGAAAAACTTTTTGATCTCGGTCACCCGGCCATAAGCACAAAATATCATTGACATACCTAAACCAAACTACGTTAGCAGGAATAATCTTGGAAAATTTTATTGTTTCAAAGAACTCCATATATAAATTGCTCAAAACTGGTGAAAGGAGATTGCCCATCGCTATTCTAAATGATTGTTTGAAAATTTTTACATTCAAACTAAAATAATAGTCGTATACACAAATAATTAAGTTCCAACACATTATTGGTTAGCAAGTTCAAATTATATTTGGGCAGTTCCTCACGCAGGAATTATAATAAATCATCAACCGGTACTTAGTGAATAGAGCAGTCACGTCAAAACTTCCTCATTTAAAATCATAATTTCAAATTGGTTCGGCTGCTTATAAACTTTCTAAGTGACTTGTCAAAGTTTGTTCCCTATAATTAGTACGATTTCCAGCTCATACATACCAAACAACGTAGATTTCTTTAATAAGTTATCACCGCTAAATTTAAATTTTGATTTTAAACTATTAAGATTTGAGTTGACTGCTTGATGTTCCGTATCCTTATTTAATGAATACTCACAATAATTCACACAAAATATAATTTATTATATTTGTTTCTTGCATGAAGGCATGTGTTTATACTTTTGAAATTGTCCTAATATTTTGCAGCATAGAGGAGTATGGTGCGCGATATGGTCACAGGAACGGGACGTGTGACATCCGGGACTACTTCTTGATAGATTACATGAAAGCTTGTACTTGTGTAGTTGTCAGTTGCTTCCGCTTTATTATTCTGTATAAATATATTTGTTTTATATAAAATATATTACCTGTAATTCATTTCAACATTACCATTTATATTTAAGTTGTTCTTATGTTTGATTTAGCACAGTTATGTTGCTCATTTAAGTAAAATAATTTTATATACATTTGCCACTCGTCATGTTTGTGGAGGGGTAGAGCTGGACGCTCTGGCGCCTGGGAGTTTAGTTTGCTGGTAGCGGGCCTGGAGTCAACTGATTTTGGTTGTCTGTTGTATTGTTTCTCTAAATTGCTGTAGTGACTGCTGGCCCTAGCTTTGGTAGGGGACAGACGTGTGCTTCGGCGCTCCAGCAGTTGGTGCTGTTTGCCAGTTTCGGCCGGTTGGAGGCGGTTGTGTCTCTGCCCGCCAGTGCTGACGTGGGCAGTGTTGTTGCCTGCCTGGCTGCGTGCTGACGTGGCCGTTTGACATGGGGGGCCTTGCAATTCCTCCTGTTTTGCGGGTGAATTCCGTGGGTCTGGAATTCTCGTGCAAGGCTGGTTATCCGGCCATTGAGTTGGTAATGTGCGACATACTTCGTGTCCCGGTGGAGGCTGTATATGGAGTTGAGCTTGTTACGGCCCACCAGGTGATTGTCAAGTTCGTGTGGGAGGAGGAGTATCGGGACTTCCTCCGGCGGAACGAAGGGCGTTCCTTGCAGTTGCCGGATGGCGCCGGCTCAGTTACGATCTCGGACCGAAGTGGTGCCCTGACATATGTCAGTGTGCATGGTGCGCCCCTGGAGTTCCCTGAAGACCTTATCCGGCGCT